GAGGTTTTAATTATTAGGCTTCTGCTTGAACTTTGATTTAATTGTTTGATATTTTGCTCGAAAGAATTAATCTAAATCATAGATAGACTCTTTTTATTTACATTATTATCTAATGCGTGTATTTAATATTTAATGGAAATCATATTAAAATTGGTTTTTTATTGAGGTGAAGGTGACGCACGGGTTGTTACGTCAGACCCATACAATAACTATAACTTATTGAATATATTATGCCGAAATCACAAACTTAATCGAATCGGCAAAAAAATCATTCGGCCAATTTTTATCAGGTGTCCCAGAAATTATGGATAACAATTCCAGCTGATTTATCTTCGGAAGCCAATATATTGCAAAACTATGAGTCAACCCGTGGGCAGCGCAAAAAATTCGATGTGCGCATGTGCGGATCGCACATGAAATTTTCTTATTTTAATATGAAGTAAACATGTGATTATATGAGTGCGCACATATTTCTCAAACTGAATTTTTTACGCTGCCCGTGGGGTCACCCGTAGGGCTGACCCGCGGGTTGATCCACCCGTTTTAACTTGGATTGCCATAACTTAACTCGGTCACCCACTCACCCGCGGGTGATCCGAGTGACACCCACCGCTAATTTCCGTACAAAATACATAATCATTATAATACAATTCATTTAGCCAATTTTTATCAGGTGTCCCAGTAATTGATAATTCTAAAAAATAAATGACAATCAAAAGATTACCAATCCATTTATGGGGATCGCTAAAACCATGATCTCACTTGATAATGCAGTATTATTTTAAGTTCTGAATTAAAATTAGTGCAAATTATAGGTAAATTGCTTCCTCGACATTTTTTATTAATGGACCATGACACCGTTTTTCTTGATTTTCTCCGAAGCTTCGTCGGACTGATTCGTATAAAACAAAATTCATGATTTTGATTGGTTGATCTACTCATAAAAGTCAAATGTATGCATTATCAGGTTCCCATTTATGGTACTGCGAATCGGGATTTTAGGATCGGATTGCCGGAATTTGCTTGATTCTAATGCTAATTGATCATAATTCGAATTGTTAAATTTAATTTAGCTCTCAAATTTTTATTGATATCAGAAATTGTTTTCTCTTCAAAACGTCAACTTTAACCGGTTTGCAACAATTGTTCAATAATATAATGTTCATTATTATACGTAAAATTTAAATATTTTATTTACTTGAAATATGTAGCACAACTAAAAGAACCGCCATACATTGATTTATTTATATATCTTAAAATGAATTGATCTGCTAACGTGCTAACGACATAAATTGAGATTGTGAATGTCAGCTCAATTTCACAATATATTCGATTACATAATCTGCAGATAAAAACAATTACACTAATATTAATTAAATGTATTACAGTAAAATGCAAATATCAAAAAACAAATGTATGTATCAATGTTAAACGGTACGACAGCTAAAAATTATGTTTGTAAATTCAAACACAAAAATGAATGCTACTTTAACGAAAACAAAAAATATTAACAAGGTGTGTAATGAAAGTGTCTAAATTCGTTTTTTGTTTCAATTTCTGTCAAGCTAGTTCCTTTTTTCTCTCCTTTTCTACGGCCATTTCCTTCTACCTTCTCCTAACTCTCGTTTTTATGTATTTTTCATTTGTCTTAGAGAGGCATTTCGACTACAATATTTAATTAACAAGACAAACTTTCCCTATAACAATCGTCCATAGGTTTGCTGGCTGGACCTATTCTCGAGTTGTAGCTTTTATCATTATAGCTAAGGAATGAGATAATTTTTTGCTACAATAGACAGAAAAAAAAAAAAAAAAATCATTAATTTTTTAATAAACATAACGAAGGAAAAAACGCATTAGTATTTTTAATATTTAAAAATGTGTTGTTCGGCCGCAAAGTGGAAAAGAGAACAAGTTAAAGATCACAAATTTTACTTTATTGATGTACAAGCATTTAAAAAAAAAAGTTTTTACCTTAGGATAAAACATTCGTTCGTCTTTTTTTTGGTATTAAAATCAGTTCTTGTCCATATTGCTGATATTTGGACTGCTGGAATTTTACTAGTTTTTGATCGTTGGAGTTCGTCTGTTCAACCTATTGTGCCTTTCTATATTGCAAAATGGATTTATGTCAGTTGTATATTGGCGTCTTTTGCTCTTTTATCTTTGGAATTCAAGAAAGCTAATTACATATATAAAAGTAAAGATATTTCTTTCGCTTTTACAAGTGGAATTGCCTACAAATGTTATACTTTAAGCAGTTATGCGCATTATTGTTTTTTCGCTAAAATCAATAACTCGAGGAAATTTACAGATAGGGTTGCTTTTTTTGTGTTCTTTGCATTTAAAGGTAATTATATTTATTATTATTCGATTTCTTTGCTTTTTAATTCTGAATTCGTATTCATTCATTTATTATTGTTAGGTTGGAAACGTTTAGTTTTTGCTGAGGCTCCTCGTCAGGCTATTAATGCACTTACACTTTACTCTATCGTTCCATTGAGTTTGAGTGGTGCAAAAAAATATTATGATATTACTTCTTATGGGGAAAATTATGTTCAGCGCCTTGTCGTAGTTTTGATGGCATTTTCCTTTTTTGTTTTTTTCTTTACAGCCATTAAGCTCATTGTTGCTGCTATTCTTTATATACCACTGCTATGTGTTATCAGAGGCAACCTGAAGGAATTTTGTTGTAACAGAATTGATAAAAGGTTAGATCTTTATATATATATGTATATATATTAAAAAAATAGATATATAATATTTATTAATTTAATTTGGCTATCTTTCCAGAATTGGTGCACTTCTTGAAAAAGAACGCAAAAAACGTCTTAATAAGAGTATTAAGGAGAAAAGAAAGAACAAAACGATCTCTATTCGACCCACACTTCCAGATGTTGACAATAATAGTTCGTCACTTCCGCCTTACCCCAAATCTTCGGCATCACAGTATTCTAGCAGTTCTATATCAGACATAACGCGGTCAACTTCTCCCGATACAATAATGTCGGGTCCGCCACCTTACGTATCAAGGACTACTACTCCAAATTATGGATCAAGGGTTGCCACTCCAAATTATGGTCATTCTGGGCAACATCCTCATTATCGTGCGGATACGATTGATTATCCAAAGCAACCTTATCCGGACAATAGATCTCCTTATCTCAATCATGAGCATTCTTACAATAATATTGGTCCTGTTTCAGAACCCATTCCTGTTACCAGACATAATTTGCGCGATCCAATAATAGCCCCACAACCGATGTTGCCGAATATGGGTCATCCACGGCCACATTATCCTCCTAATGATAGACCTCCTCAGCCCAATTTCGCTCCAATGAACCAGCCTAATGTAATTGTACCTGAAAATTCTTATAATAATTTGGTGTCTGCTTCGGAACCTATTCCACAAAATCAATATGACCCAATAATAGCACCACAAGCTATTTCACAACCAATATTTCCAGATATGGGCTATTCACGACAACCTTATCCTAATAATGGATCTCTTCAGCCCAATCCAATTCCAATAAATCAATTCAATGTAAATGCTTCAGATCATTCTTATCATGCTATTTCTGAACCTATTGACCTCGTCAGACAAAATCAACACGACCCAATAATAGCACCACAAACTATTTCACAACCTATATTGTCAAATATGGGCTATTCACGACAACCTTATCCTAATAATAGATCTCCACAACCCAATCCATTTCCTGTTATCAGACAAAATCAGCGTGAAATAATAACACCACAAACTACTATGCAACCAATAAGTAATAGTGGATATATTCCAAATACTTTTAATGGAATGCATAATGATTATCATAGCAACAGTGCACCTATATCAAATGACAGTGATGATAGAAATTCCTATGCTCCGTACAGAGGATATTATGATGATGATGTTATCGACGTATCAGATAGTCGTGATGATTTCGTACTTCAACCTCCACAACGTTCATTTTCCCCATCGCAACGTTCACATTCTCCACAACGTTCATATTCTCCACAACGTTCATATTCTCCACAACGTTCACTTTCTCCACAACGTTCACATTCTCCCTCTAACTCATCAACTTCTATAGGTTCAAATCCAGCAAATGTAATTCTTTCAAGATATCAACAGCCTGAGAAAAGGTCTTCAAATTTTAACAATTATGTGCAACAAGGTGGTAGCAAGCTAAATATAAACGAGCAGAAAGATAATCCATCATAGCATTTTTTTTTAAGTAGTTTTTTTTTTAATGATTATTATTATTTTGTTTTATTTGTAACATAGGTAATATGTAGTTTTATTATTTGCCTAGTAGAGTTTAATTATATAATCTAGTCTAATCTTATTATTATGAATGTATTTTTAATAATAAATTTGTTATTTTTTTTTTGAGTAATATTAAATTTATTTGTGATAGTTTGATTTAGTATTTTTGTAAAATTATAACTTTTGTTTCTGTTTAATAGTATTTTTTAAAGGAATTATTGGCTTAATTACATGTAATTCATATTGCTTTTTACTTATTTGTATTGATTTAGCTACTGTAGTATATTATAAATGCCTTTTAATAATCTATTCAAGATGCTAAATTGGATAGGCGTCACCCATCATTATAGATGGGGGTGAAATTACCCTTCTTAATAAAAAGTTTTTGTTGAAATTGTTGAAATTATTGAATGGTGAAATTTGTGAAATTAGTTTTTCAATACTAAAAATTAATTTAAATTATATCAAAAATTAATTGAAACTAAGTTAAATTAAATAAAATAGTTATTTGGTATTTAATTTATAAAAATATTAAAAATGTTGAAATTATTGTTGAAATTAAAAAAATTGAAAATTAATTTCACCCCCATCTATACTAGAGTTGCTGGTGAAACTAATTCATTTCACCAGAAAACTGGTGCACCATCAGTGCACCGTTGAAGATTAGTTTCATCTATAACTCTAGTTTCACCATCGGTGCTAATCTATACCCATCATATTAGTTTACGCGTCACGCAAACAATTCAGAGATATTATTGAGTCTTAAGGCTTAATATTTCGTGAAGCAATGAAAAATTTACTTCGAATCAGGGCTAAAACGACACATAGTAAATACCTGCCATTCAATAAGTGTCGTTTTTGATTCATATTATATTGAAATTTTATTACTCGTATATTTGATGTATCAAAAACGATACTTAAAACAATGGGCAGCGGCGCAGTAAATGGCTGCCTCATACCATGTGTCGTTTTAGCTCTGCTTCGAATACTCGAAACTAGTGATGTGATCCGTTGATTTACAATCGTTCAAAATCCGCGAATTTTGTGCAATCAATCCAATGAATCCAGTCAATCTATTCTAGAGGTGCGATCCGTTGATCGGCAATCCGGATAACTGTTCAAACGTTCAATCCGTATGCATGTTGTAGATCAACTGTTCAAACTATACAGAACTGTTGAACTGTTGGAACTATAGTTAACTGTTCGAACTGTAGTTAACTGTTGGAACTATAGTTAAATGTTACTATCGTTATACGGATTATAGTTAAACTATACAGATTGATCAACTATTCAGACTATTGAACTGTGTGGATTGAAGATCATTATTATTCGTTTCATAGTTATAACTAGGGTTCTGCAAGTTCCGGGCATGGTGCCGAAAAAAAATAGTGCCTGCGTGCCGGGCACTATGTTTTTTTGGCACATGCCCGGAACTTGCAGAACCCTAGTTATAACGTAATATAATACACGTATTCTTTAAATATTTTTTCTTATTGTTTTACTTGATTTAGCAAACAACGAATCGAAAAAATAAAATGACCTGTGCCAATGTTTCATCCGTTTAATTATACTGAAAAATGTCTGTTAGCAATAAATAAGTATGATGTTGAAGCATCCGATAAGACTTCTAATAAAAAAAACAAAAGTCGATGATACCCGTGGTGGTAGTAATATCAGAAGTTGGATTTGGCTGTACTTTGATCCAGTGTATATTGATAATGTAAAGCATGCGGTTTGTAAGGTCGAGACAGTAAAAGGAAAAAAATGCAGCACAAAATACAATGTTAACACGTCAACGAGTAACTGCTCTTCTCATCTCTCAAACGTTCATGACATAACTGAAGACCAAGGTAAAAATATAAATGATACAGAGTTAATTATTTTACCCCATGATGAGCCACTTCAGATTCAATTATGCCAATACCTTGCGGATTGGATCATAACTGATTCCCAACCACTCAATGTTCTTGAAAATCCAGCTTTTAAAAAATTTATAAACGAGTTAGATCCAAAGTTCAAAATTCCATGCATTAAATCTATAAAGAAACTTGTACATATTGCATATAATCACTCGTTTAAGTTAATCATGGAAAAAGTAAAAAATGATTCAATTTCTATATCATTAACGTGTGATTTATGGACTTGTAAAAACCGGCAAGGGTTTTTAGGTATAACATGTTCGTATCTTGATCGTAACTTTCGATTTCATGAGATCACACTTTCCATTGAGCACATCCGCCATCCTCATACTGCTGAAAATATCGGTGATAATATTCTTTCTTTATTGGACGAATTAGAATTACGTGATAAGGTTTTCACAGTGACAACAGATAATGGTAAGAACATGCAAAAGGCCGTTAGGGATTTAAAACAAGCAATAGAAAACATATCATGGCAACCGTGCGCAGCACATACCTTTCAGTTAGTAATCGTGAAAGAATTGGAACCTGTTAAGATTCTGGTTGGCCGTGCCAAACGCATGATTAATTTCTTTTTAAGACCAAAGCAATCAGAGCGCCTGGAGGATATACAGAAACAATATGCAAGATCAAATAAGGTTTAAAGTTTTTTATATTTATTTATTTATTTATTTATATTTGGAATTATTAAATATTTATTTTTCATTTTTTAAGGAACAATCTATCGTATGTCTATTTTGATTTTTTTTACATGTCTGATATATAAATTAATAACTAGTATCATTTAGAATGCTAAGAAGACTTTGACATATTTGAGACATGTGAATGCAGATGTACAAACTCGTTGGAACTCCGGTTATTTGTTGTTGTGCTGTCTCCTGGAATTGGAAAAGTACATTCATGTATTAGAGGTTGAATTAGCCAGGGATAAAAATCATGATTCTAATAAAGATTCAAAACATCTAACAAAAATAATGTTGACAAAGGATGAGTGGGATTTACTTCGTAATTTGATTCCGATTTTGGGCCTTTTGAGGAGGTGACTAGATATCTTGGTGGTAGCAAATACGTTACATATAGCACGATGAATCCTATAATGATACACATTATAAAAGATATTTTTGCGGAACTTAAAATTTATGGCGATGATGGTGATTTGCCAAAAAAGATAGATTGGATAAACCCATGCAAACATCTGGAATTTTAGAAAAAGTAAAGAAAATGTTGTACCGAGCTATGCGTTTATGCTGGAAAAAAGATAATACCGAATCCTATTTATCTTCCATTCTCGACCCTCGTATTAAAAAGTTTGATTTCGTGCCTGAAAATTTTAAGCAGGTTCAGGAATTATTAAGAATCAAATATGATGAAACATGGGATAATTCAACAACTCCGATATTTATTAATACTTCATCCACTTCTTATTTTCATAACACTACTGTTTCTCTTTTTTATAAGCCAACACTCTAAATATATTTAAAACCCTTCACCTCTTAATTTACAGAGTGAATTAGATGAATACTTTGCAGTTCCACAAATACCTTTTGAATCAGATCTCTTCGCGTGGTAGAATCTGAATAAGGAGAGATTTCCAGTTATCAGCAAGTTAGCATGTGTTTACCTCTCAGTTTCAGCTATATCTACACCTTCTGAACGATTCTTCTCAGATTGTGGTAACTTAATTGGATCCAAGAGAACTCGCATGAGTCCCAAATTCTTTAAAAGATTAGTATTTTTAAAAAGAAATTATAATATTTTAGATAACATTTACCCTTGGTAGTTTTTATTTATAAAGTGTTATTTAAATTTTTTAAAGTATTGTAATTGTTCTTATATTTTGAATATTTTAATTATCATGCATATCATAAAATTAAACTTAAAACAAATCTTAGATGAATGTTTAGAAAGAAAATCCTATAATCATATAGTACATATCATGCAATTAAATCTTCGATGAATAAAAAGAAAAGTTTTAATTTTAGTTTATACTTTACAACTAAAACATAAAAAAAAATATTTTTCTTATCATATGGGCGGATTTGTGGAATTGTACTAAAACAGATGTAGTTTGACATTTTTTAAGATTGAATAACTTTTAATCTACTGGTTCGCTTTGGATAAACCAACTACTAAAATGTTCGTCTCGATGAGATGATTCTAATGAGCACAAAATTTAAAATCCAATCATAGGATCCCGAGATCATTAAGGTTTTTTGCGAAGGTGACGCGCCTATAGGGTTGTACAATTGGTTAGACGCGGTCTAACCAATTGTACAACCCTATAGGTGCGTCACCATTGTTAAAAATTTTTTTTAGTAGGAATAAGAATTTGTTCACCTCTACAAAAGGCTTTGATCTAAAAAAAGAATAATAAAAAAATTGTAGTCATAGTTATAAAATAGATATTGTCTAAGCAACTAAGCCTTTAAAAATTGAATTTGCTATCGCAGAGATAAGCAGATCTCCAAATAATTTTATTATTTTAGTAACAAAATCAAAATAGCAAAGGTATTAAAGATTATTCTAAATAGAATAGTATAAATATATAGTAGTATAAAAACAAATTTAAGCATCTTAAGCACAATAAAGAAGAGAAAGAAAGTTGTGATACCTTCATTTAAAGTTTTAAAAAATTTTTAAATTCTTTGGATGAATAGAATAATAAATTCTAATTGTTACGATACAAAGACACCTTTCATTAAACACTTTACTTTATAAAGTTAAAAAATGTTAATTATCACGGGAAAAATTAAATGGGAGTAAATTCTATTGTTTAAAATTAGTGATCATCACTATGTAATGATCATTTGAGTTGACAAACATAATTTTTAATGAGAAACGCGTAAAGTTTCGTGCATTCAGTGATAGTTGATATTGCTTGCTACGTATTTTATAATAATATTATATTAATTAAATTTTATTCTTAGATTATTTAGAATTATAATACTAACCATAAAAGCTGGTCCAAGAAATAGGTCTTCACAATCAACGGTATGCAATATAAGGCCCCAATCAGTTAGAGGAAGGAGGCATACACCAGAATTGACGTAACACGATGCATGAGAACTGAATGCTATATCATTTATTTCCTGACAGGTAGTCTTATCATTTCTATAACTCGAAACTAATGATTTTTGAAGACAAGTCATTGTTTTGGTTACCCTGAAAGATAAATTGCAGTTTTCACGTCCTTAAGAGTGCTATAATTAATTACGAATAATAAGGACTTCATAGCTGAATTTACCATTTTTTCCCATCAGAACTGAACTTGTTCATAGCATTGATAAACTTTTTGCAATTCTTGTCTCCATATTTAATTGGATATCCATTAGGTCCACATTTAAATTTATTATCTAAGCACTTTATATAGAAATCACATGAATTTGATACAGGATTATTACAACTTGTGTCTGCTAAAGAAGTTGAAGATGATATTGGAGACGACACGGCCGTGGTTTTCTTGTACCATTGTCCAGGAGGACAGCCAGTGCATTTGCTGTCCTTGCAACAATAACTGCGTCCATCAAAAGTCCCACAACATCCATATGTACAAGGGCCATATCGACAAATTTTAGTACCACCAGGATTGCATTGAAAGAGCGATGAAGGATCAGAAAGACAAGCTACATATTCAGAATAAACGATAAGTGGCAACTATAAATAAATTAACTGAAATATAAATGATTTTACAATTCTTTAATTCATAGCCACAATTAAGACCACCTATGGCGTCATTAGTACATTTACAACCGCTAGTATTAACATAGTCACAATTAGCGAAGACTTCAGATATCAGAAGGATCAAGAAAAAAAGGTAGATTGGGCAATTCATTTTGCATTGATATTTTTCATTGAAATATGGCCATAGAGTCCATATTTAAATTAAAACAAGATGCAATGTACCATTATAATTATTGAGAGCGATGACAACGTGTGCGTTGTTTAGCACCTATCATAGCAGCAGGGCGGGCTTTAATTCTGAATGGTCAATCACCAAATGTATCGTCATATATATATTGCATATATCATCTGACTTTAAACGAATTGGCAGCCATGAAAACGAATTGTCAAACGAAACAGATTACATACAGTCGCACCCCTAAATGCACACCCCCTAAGTGCAAGTACTATGTAAAACCTCTCTAAATGCATGATACGATTTGGCCCCAACTTATAAGTGCTCTATGTATTTTATTCTCTATAAGTGCAAACCTCCTCTAAGTGCAAAATTTTGATTTTTTTCACTATGGTCCCGACGGGATGCACTTAGGGAGGTGCGACTGTATTCAGAAACTACACCTTTTACTTAACATATGGTAAAAATAATCCGGCCATCAGATCTTAGTGTAGATGTTATATTTTTAGTGTCAACGTCATGAGAAATTAGAATGTATATACAAGAATAGAGATGCGGACTACAAATTACAGTAAACATATCAGCTGATATGATATAAATAAACTGTAGTTTAATCTAAAATTACAGTTTTAGATTATTTATATTAACTAATAGTTTACGGATACGGATTGGATTTTGTGTAATCCGTATTATACGGATTTAAACAGTTCACATCACTAATCCTGTAATCTGTTCAATTCTAGTCAAACCATTGAATCCATTCAATCCATGCGGATTGATGATCATATTACAGTATTAATATGGGATATTGTTTTACTTTTATTTATTAAATAAAGTATCAGAGAAATAAAACGATTTACACCACTGTTTTATCTTTAATTATTTTAAAAAAATGTCGGCTTATAATAAGGAAGATGCTGAAGCATCGGCTAAATCTGATAACAATTCTAATAAAAAGACAAAGGTCAATGATACCCGTGGTGGTAGTAATGTTAGAAGTTGGATTTGGTTGTACCTTGATCCCGTGTTTGTTGAAGGTGTAAGACACGCGGTTTGTAAGGTTGAGGTGGTAAAGGGAAGAAGTGCAGTGCAAAATATAAGGTAAAAAACTCAACAAGCAATTGCTCTACTCACCTTTCGAACGTTCATGGGATCACTGAAAATCAGGCTAAAAATAAAAAATGTTACGGAGTTAACTAATTTACTTCACAATGAATCGCGTCAGCTTCAATTGTGTCAATACCTTGCGGACTGGATCATAACCGATTCTCAGCCACTTACTGTTATTGAAAACCCAGCTTTTAAAAAATTCATAAGCGAGTTAGATCCAAGGTTTAAAATTACATGTATTAAATCTATAAAGAAACTTGTACATATTGCTTACAACCATTCTTTAAAATTAATCATGGAAAAATAAAAAAAGATTCAACTTCTGTATCTTTAACTTGTGATCTTTGGACCGGGAAAAATAGACAAGGTTTCTAGGCATAACATGTTCTTACCTTGACCATGAATTTCAATTTCATGAGATCACACTTTCCGTCGAGCATATCCGTCATCCACATACTGCCGAAAACATCAGTGATGCCATTCTTTCATTTTTGGATGAATGGGAATTACGTGATAAGGTTTTTACGATAACCACTGATAATGGTAAGAACATGCAAAAAGCTGTTAAAGACCTGAGAGAATCGGTGAAAAACGGCATTCAGGTGAGAAACAGGGGTGACCGTCCCAAATATGGGAAATGGTTACACGAATGTTGAATGATTGTCACCTGCTAATCAACCAATAAAAATATTAAATTTTAAAGAAAAAAATAACAAAATCGAAACGATATCAAAGAAATTTAATTAAAATTTATGTATAAATAATTAAAATAAATGTTATTACAAGTAGACAAATATGCCTATATTAACTTAGATCATTTCTAACTATATTACAAAGTTATAATCGTCATTATTTAAAAATTTTATGATTCTATCTTCGATCCTATATATTCGATTCTATATTCAATTCTATACTGTATATTCGATTCTATATCTAATAAACCCAAATATTTCATGATTATTCTATCAAAGAGAACTTTAA